GTGACAATCCTTATCTTCTCTTGTCTGCCCAAAACGTCATTGCTAACTTCAAAATTGGAACCACTTGAAAACATGAAAGTTCTAGGAAATTATCTTAGCTTTCCAAGAAAAAAAATGGAGGTCATTTGGACTTCTAGAGCTCTAGATATGGGCAAAACACGAAACAGTGCTTAGGCTATAGGACAGATTCAGAATTCTTTATTGTTGCTATAATTTGGACTTAAAAATATATAAAAGTTATAGGCCTATTTCTTTCATTTCCACCCATATAAAGTAGATCTAAATCTGAGATCTACAGCTCCAGATATGACCCAATTACCGAATAATGTTTCAGTTTGGACTGCACCAACATCTTTTTTCTAAATTTGACCATCTCTTTGTCCTTTCAATTTTAGTTCTTAAACTCATCAATCAATCCTTTCATTTCTGTGATAGGCATGCATTTAAAATGAACAATTATCATAAATTAAAGGTATCTTATATTATTAAATATCTTATTATAAAACATGCTTTAGTTAGGGAGTTATTGATACTTCAAGTGCTAAAACCTTGATTAAAAATACACTTTTAAGTACTAATCACACTCCCAAACCAACTTATTACTATTCCCTAGTAATCAAAATGTTAAAATAGAACAATAATTTGCAAATTCCACGAAACAAGGTATTCTTCATTTAACTTCCATTAATCTATCTAGTTAAACAAACTCTTATTAAATGTATATATCTACTCAATACCTCTTAAACAAAATATTAATAAACATTTCTTTCATCCTCAATAAATCAATACATAGTTATGGGGCTTTTCTTGGAAATTTTTTTTTTGTTCTAATGTTTAAGGTTAACTTCTTTAGGTTGGGATTATTATTTTTTTTCTTTTCTTTAATATATATACGTACAACTTAAAACATCATGCATCTTTAACCTATGTAACGAGCTTTCGACTAATGACTCTAACACAACTAAAAGATTGATGTCTTTTTCCAAGTGCAGGAGTGTCGAAGCAATAAATAACCTGGCAAGACTAGGGTCAAACCATAGGGAGGTTAATTGTACAAATTATAAATAACAATAATACAACAACAATAATAATAACAACAACAACAACAACAACAACAATAATAATAATAATAAAGAAAAAGAAGGAGAAGAAGAAAAAGAAGATGAGAACTTTGAGATGGAATAATAATGTAAGGATTAAACAATGATAACAATAAATGTCAAGGTTAGAGGATCCACTAATGGTATGTCAAACAAGTATAGTATAAACTCTTATTATTCAATTGAAAACCACACACAAAGGAGGTTCCAATTTGATTATAGATTGTTAACATGATTACATTAGTCATCTTATTCAATTAATGCTAGTACTTGTAAATCTCATCAAGCATTCATAATTATAACTTATTGATTGTGCATCAAAAGTGTCATTAAGTCTCTTATTTTACATATGTATTTATTGTTTTTATTTGGTTGTTTTTATAATAATTGATGTGTTTTTTAATAATGAAGTTTGTTTTAATGTTTCGATAGGTTTTTGGAGCTTAAATGAATTAATTCAAAAAATTCAACGTCGGAATTCAGAACAAAGAATTGAAGAGACATTTAGTTGAAGATTGAAGCAAATCTTGGTTCAAATAAGTGCTCCAAATTTGTCCCAAAAATCAATTCTATTCCAATTCTAGAAAAGAATATCATATGATTTATTTCAAGCCCAAACTTGCCTTATGTTGTGTGCAAACATCAACCATTAAACACTCAAGGTTTCAATGTCAATCTTAGCTCAAATAATAAGTACATTTGTATACTTATTTGATGCTCAAATTCAGCCCAAAATCAGCCCCAAATCAGCCCTAAATCAACCCCAAATCAACCTTCAAATCAACCCAAACACAATCCATGATCTTACATGTCCACACAACAAATAACAATTGATTTATTTTGGGTAATCCATTGATCCAAGAAGGCAAGCACATGTATGGAAAGCTGGAGGGGATATTTTAACATTATTTTGGTCAAAAAGAAGAAGGAGACACCTCATAAATGAGGAAGAAAAACGTGCACCAAAGTAGTTGTAAAGCTGTTTTGATTTGATATTTCAGAACACCTTTCGGTGTTTTGCCCATAACTTTTGACTCAGGTGTCCAAATGAGCTATTCTTTAATGATCTGGAAAGGTGACAGAATTGCTTATAAATATGTCTCTAATAGACTTCTCGAAACAAAGCTTCTAAGAGGGTCGAATTGCTATCCAAAGTTAGAGTCAGATTTGTGTCCGAATTGTTTCTGAAATTGTATTGTGTTCTTCTTTATAGATTTCGGTTCTTTAGTTTGTAAAACTTATTATTTCAGTTGGATTCAAGTTCTTTCATGTTTATTGAAGTTTTCTTATATATAATCATGGTTGGCTAAACTCTTTCTTGGATCCAAATCAAGGATAATGGTGATTGAGGTGTGTTCTTTAGGATATGAATGAATCTTAATGTTTATCTTCTTATTTTCTTCATGAATGATTTATTATTGTAAAGAAATTTTAGAAATCATTTAGGTAATGTTATAATCTTGAATTTTTATGCACAAACTTTAGTTTTGGTATAGAGATTGCTTGATTCAATGTCTTACTTAATATGAAAGTACTTGTTTATTCTTAAGCAATAATCAATCTTTATCTTTCTAATCTTCATTGTAATATCTTCCAATCTAATATCACCATCGTTGATATTAGGTTGAGTTATCTTATATATGTTGAAGAAATCACCAATACATCACCATTAAAATTGATTTGGACCAAGACTTACTTTTTCTTGTCATTTAAAATCTATTTACATTTTTTTTTATCTTTAAAAACAAATCCATCAATTATTTTCAACCAAGTTATTGTTAATTTAATTTCTCTTGAGTTTTTTTTGTTACTTAGCTTAATTTCCAGATCTAGCTCTTTATGGATATGACCTCGATCTTACCGAGTTAATTGCTACATTGCACACTCGTGCACTTGCGAGTTAAAACAAGCCGATCATAAAAAGCGGTCAAGCAATTTTGGCGCCGTTGCCGGGGAGCTAGGAAGCAAAGGTAACAAATTTAGATTTGATTATTGGAAAACTAAAAAAAAATCATATAAAAAAAAATTAAATTGGCTGGTTTTACCGCCTCAAAAAAAAATTAAAAAACAAATCAAGTGGCTGGTTTTACCGCCTAAAAAAAATTTGACCTTAACGTTTTGGATATTGGACTGTGGACTGAACTATTAATTGTTGGATTTTGGTTGGTTCAACCATTTTTCTTTTATTGTCTATTCTTATTAGTTGCTAATATTTTTCTTGTTTATTTCATTTTATTTGGTTGATATTGTTTTTATTTATTGTCTAAAGTGCTTGGCCGGTATTACTGCCTTTTTATTCATGCTTGTTATAATTATCTTTTAATGTTTATTGTTGTTATTTTTCTTATATTTATTGTCTAAAGTGTTTGGTCGGTATT